AATACTGTAGGTAATTATTGAAGCCCCTATGTTACTCTAACCCCAGTTCTTTCAAAACCGCGTGTCCCTATGTTCAATGTAGGGTTCAAGAATAATCAGGGTTTCGGATTTAGAATTATTTGAGGCCTATAAGGTTTGGGGACTTTCAGACGCTTCACGGCTTAGCCTTAGCTTCTAGGGGTGCCGCGTGGAAGCTTTAGATTTTCCGAATTGTGGGAGGTGTCTGGCTTGGGTCGGTTTGCCCGGGGCCGAGAATAGAAAACCTCACAGTCGGGTTTACGGTCAAGGGCTTAGGGGGTACTTAGAGGCCCCGGGGACTTAGTAAGCAGGTTGTAAGTAGAGTTATAAGTACCCTAAATGGAACTATCCCAAGTATAACTCTACTTATAACCGACTTACTAAGTCCCCTGGGCCTCCCTTAGAAATATGATCCGAGTCCATGCAAGGCGCGCACGCAATTACATCAAGTACAACCCGACAAAAACTCTCTTAGATGGTTTCCGGTGGAGGAGTGTGGTATAAGGGGGCTTCAACCGTGGAACCAAAAACCTTGAATAGTAATCCTTTTAGGTACCCCGACAGGTACCCCGAATCAACGAACCTCGTGTGAGTCGCGCGGGTTCCTTGTTTGTCTGCGCTGACACATGCCATGTGTATGATTAGTGCTTCTTTTGGCCTGGGTTTGAGGGCTTTGGGCAGACAGGGCCTAGGAGTTAAGTCCCTAAACCCTAAAAAACCCTAAACTCTATACCCTAAGTAGCCTAAACCCGAACCCCGAAACCCTAAACCTGTTCTGTTAGGGTTGGCGGCTTGAAGACAATGGGCCCGGTCCTCCAGTGGCCCGTACCAAAGCGGTGAGATCACCACAATCGGAACTTTCGGATGCCCATCACCTTCCAGTCAACATGTGGGAGCAAGCGACTTCGATTAGAGTTTTCTACAACCAACCTTAGGCCCAACAATCCCAAATCCTAAATTCAAACCCTAAACCCGAAATCCTACACCCTGAAAAAGAATCTTACACGAAGGGGGTTTGCGTTCTCCAGATTTCACAACAGGGTTTCAATTGCTGCCAGGATCGCCTTCGCTCCGGAGAGTCTGCAAAGAGTGACCGGTACATAGCTAAACCCTAAACCCAAAACCCTAAACCTCTAAACCCTACCCTACACCCCATGAGAAGCCCGAAAGTTGAGACATCACCTCACGACCTGAAAGTAATGTCCAGGGGATCCCAGCACAAATCATCTTAAATCCAAGTCCCTGAGCGTCCATGTGCCCAAATAGTATATGCTTTGGCCTTAAGTAGTCACATATAGGTACTTTGGGGCCAATGCCCAAATAGTATATGCTTTGGCCTTAAGTAGTCCCTTTACGGGTACTTTGGGGCCAACTGTATATGTGATATGAGTACATGGGTAGTTCTCTAAATTAGGGCCCCTTTTAGGTCCCCAACATAGTACGGCACCCTTAGAAGAAGGACCTAAAAGGGACCTTAATTTAGAGAACTACGTACCCATATGAGTACATGGACACTTAGGGGTGTTCTAACTATCTGGGATTCACGAGAAGAACAGAAGCAGCTGCAACGAGCTTACGGCTCGAAATCTGGGAGGTTTTTACGGGTTCGGTCTCTAGGGTTTCGGGCAGGATTTCTCGGGTCTGCGGTTCCGTTCAGGGTGGAGGGTTTAAGGTTTTTTGGTTTTTTGGGCTTAGGGCTGCCGCAATGAACTCAAAGCCAGTTTCTAATGAATGGCACAACTATGAAACCCAAACCCTGAACCCTAAACCATGAAGCTTACAAGCCATAAGCCCTAAACCCTCAAGCTCAATATAGGGGCCTGAATAATTAGAATAGAGTTTTGGGGTCCATTATAATACTACAATTATAATACGGAGCCCCCCCAAAAATAGTCTTGGTGATTATTTAGGACCCTACATTCTAGACGCTGACCCTGACCTGATAAACCCTAAACCCTAAACCCCAAAGCCTTATAAACCCTAAACCCCTAAACCTTATAAACCCTAAACCCCTAAGCATTATAAACCCTAAACCCCTAAACCTTATAAACCCTAAACCCCTAAACCTTATAAACCCTAAACCCCTAAACCCCTAAGCCTTATAAACCCTAAAACCTGAAACCTCAGTCCCGGAGCGCACGAGACCCAACCCAGAAACCTCAAGAGACGTGAGCCCAAGGGAGCTGGAGTCGGTGAAGGCTTAGAGGGTCTAGGAACTTAGGGTTGAGGTTTAGGGTTTAGGGTTTAGGGTTTAGGGTTTAGGGTTTAGGGTTTAGGGTTTAGGGTTTAGGGTTTAGGGTTTTGGTTTGGCCTTTAGGGTTGAGGGCATCGGTTCCAAGCACCATATAAATGGCACTGATACCCATAAATATGGGTTCAAGGTATAGGGTCTATAGGGACGACAGGGTTCACACACGGAAGCTGAAACCAAGACTTCCCAGCTTGCCCCATCTCAGCACATCACGCAGTGTTTCCACGAAGCCCTCGAATGCAGATGTGAATACTCGCCTGGCAAGGCTCTAATTTCGGGTTGTAGGGTTTAGGGTTTCCCAGAGAGCCCAATACCCCATTCATTAAGGAATATACGAATATACCTTAAATCATAATATTAAGGCCCCTATAATTTAAGGTCTATTCCTTACTTTAAGGGGTATTGGGTTCTCTGGGTTACCCCCGAAGGAAAGATGGCCGCAGGGTTTCGGAGATTAGGGCTTCGAGATTCGGGCGTGCCAGGCTAAGGGCTTAGGGTTTAGGGGTTAGGGGTTTAGGGTTTAGGGTTTAGGGTTTAGGGTTTAGGGGTTTAGGTTTTCGGGTTTGGGGTTTAGGGTCTATCCCCAAGACCGACACATAGTAGGGTTTAGGGTTTAGGGTTTAGGGTTAGGGTTTAGTAGGCTATGACGACGCTGTTATCATGTAACTGCAACCCTAAACCCTAAACCCTAAACCCTAAACTTAGTAGCCAAGAGGAGCCACCGCAGAAGGACCAACTTCCGCTTGGAAGACGTTGGTCTTAGAGCTGTGGTGATGTAAACAGTACCTGTGGATCCAAAATCCTACCGTTTTAAGGGTTAGACCCTCTAAATACAGGTAGACTGAACTAGGTTTTTTTTTTGAGCTCCTTTTTCCGCCTGCAACATCCAAATCACAGAAAGACTGAACTAGGGTTTAGGCTTTAGGGTTTAGACTGCGAAGGGGCTCACACTATGTCCAATCCCGATGACCACAATCTGAAAACAACCTTCACATTTCTCATTTCAGGTTTGGAAAGCCGGAAAGTAAACTTGGCTGAAGGGCTGGGCAATTCCATACACTCAAGCCCGAAACCATTAAAACCTTGACGCATCCTCAAGCCCTCATGCCCCTCAACCTACAGCGCCCCCCCAAGCCCTGAACCCTAAACCCTAAACCCTAAACCCTAAACCCTAAACCCTAAACCAGAGCCTTCGCACCTCGTCATGGCCGCCGTCGTCTGGATATTGATGCCAACCTCCAGACTAAATCCTCCACACCCTCTGTGATGCAAGTGGATAGGATTTATTTAGAAGCCTGATCTCAAGGACCGCAAGTCGAGGAAATTCCGCAAGTATGGCACATCATTCCATAGGCTCTAAAATAGTTCCGCTTGGGGGGTCATGTTTAGAATCCTATAAGGTAATCCCAAAAAGGAACTACTATGGGGCTTATGGGATAGTACGAGGTCCTAACCTGTACAGTCCTAAACGCCGGATACCTTTGGGGGGGGGGGGTCGACGTCTTCCACCTCGAGGGTGATGACATCGCACTTGATATCACGCATCGTTCGCGCAACGATGGGGTCCAGGTAGCATTCCTGAGTCCCCGGCGATTCCCGCAATGTGGGTGCAGGGTTTAGGCTTTAGTTCTCTCGGCTTGAAGCAAAAAGGGGTGGGGGCTCAGGTTCGCGGCCCTGTAATGTAGGATGCGGCATTAAAGAGCCCTCGGATATACCCCTTGAACATGCGTGCTGACGTCAGTTGGGGTTTTGGGTTTCAGGCTTATGCTTTACTACTACAATTATTCCTGTTAGTTACTTCTATTCATTACCAGTAATCACTGTTGGCTACTATGATTAATATTGCTACTGCTACTGTTACTACTACTACTACTACTACTACTACTACTACTATAATACTACTACTACTACT